GGGCAGCAAGAATATGGCCACCAAACTGATTGGACAGCAACTGGAGATGTGCAGGCAGCAGCAATTGTTGGTTGAGAAACCCTTTTGGCCTTCGAAATACTTCCCATAGTAGTTCGAACAACAACTAAAGAGATGGGACAGCAGTTTGTCCAGTGAGAGGAGTCTTAGGCAGCAATACGGGCTTACTGGGGAAGCAGAGCATCAAGATTATGCTGCTGTAACTCATGGCAGCATCCAGGAATCGGATTCCCCTACAGGTAAGAGACATAGGGGGGGAAGAGGCTTGGGAAGGGGATGGCTATGGCTGCAGGGAAACAAAGTATTTCCATCCCAGAACTCTCCGTCAGGGCTGATTGGAATAATTCAAATCCAATAGGAATTGATTGGATTCAATTAAGGAGTTGATTGGAGTTCATTATGGGAAAGAAATAAAGAAGAGGAGGGAGTTTTGTTTTCAAAACCTGAAATTAATTTCAGGATTTGAATGAAATTGGGGGGGGGGGATAATTTGAAATTTGAATTCCAATTAATCTTGCAATTAATGGAGTAATGGGGGGAAGGGGGCCGACGGTTATGATCGGAGTTATGACGGATTTAATTGGTGCTTAGGTGACAAAGTGGAGAGAGGAGGGAGGGAGAGGGGGCCGGCCCTATATGGGTTGAACATTGTAATTAAGGTTAGGCTCCTTGTCTGTGATCCTTGTCATTTTTGTAGATTCGTTCACCAAGAATCAATCAACTGGGAGGCGACAAAGCAAATGAGGCAACAACTATTATCAAATTTTTTAATGCCTAAGCCAGGTTCAAACTTCGATTAGTTCACTTTTTAAGCAGCTAAAATTGAAGCAAAATTAATAAATCAACATGGTTTAGGTTTACTAAAAACCAAATTTAAAGTTTGATTTATGGGCTTGCCCAACTAATGCACATCCCTAGCAATTCCATTCCCATTAGATTCTTAAATCGCGCTGCTGAATCGTTTTGGTTTGCACGTGAGAAAATTTTCCTTTCAACTCTATTATGTAAATATCAAATCATGGATATCCTTTTCTGTCTATGTTGTTTGCAATTATAGCTATGTTCTACAAACAACAATATCATTAACAAGCTTTTATCCCACTACGTGGGGTACATGAATCCTTTTTTCTCCATTGTGTCATGTTAAGAGTCAAATTTTCATCTAAATTTAATAAAAAAAGGCCCTTTCTAATATTTTATAAACAAGTCTTTTTACGTGTGCCTTTGCCTTTCTTAGCATAAGCCAAAGCTAATACCTCTACTCTCCTAACCGGGCCATCTTTATATGACCAAACCATCTAAGGCGACTCTCTCTAATCTTATCTTCCGCTCGAGCTACTCCAACATTTTTACGTATATGCTCGTTTCGTATCTTGTCTCTAAGATTAAAGTCTCCACCTGAGCATCCTCATCTCTGCAACCCTTACTTAATATTAGCTTCTCTTTTAATGGACAACATTCTGCAAAATGAATGTCTTATCGGAAAGAGTTGTTTTTTTAGTTGCAGGGAATGTTGACTTTTGTGCTACAAATTGAACAATTTAAGTGCATTATACCTTTTGTCAGAGCTTGGGCGCTGTTATGGAGAAATGTACCCGGAATAACACAGCACTATGGAACTTTTCCACCATTAAACCAACATTTTTTGTTGGGAAGAAGTCATTTTCATGGGATGGTGATAAATTGAGCTAGTAATTTTTTATTTGTAGATTTCACGTGCAAAACTGGACTACCATGATTTCTTGTCATCTTCTACAGAACTTGAATTGAAAGTGCATGCCTTGTATCTCCAACCTGGAAACTTTAATTTGAATGGAGTTATTTCTTTTGCTTTGTGGTGGTAAATTCTCAACATTTTGTAGTACCATGTTCCTCATTTTAGTTAGGATGTCAATGATTATTACATTTTTTGCATGTAAGAATAAGTTTTTTTTTGCTGTCTACTGTTGATTGTTTTCAAAGTTCAGGGAGTCAATAAATCAAAGATGCATAGGCTGCAAATTCTTTGTTATCATTGGCAAATTAGTAACTCATAGGTTTGGACCTATTCTTGCTTACATGAAGAACCTCTAGGATATCAGCTTTGTGAACGATTTAAATCAGTCATCAATCATAAACCTATATCTCTAACTTTCTTTGTTGAAGGTATTTACTCATACTCATTCGCTTCAATAAGTCGGTTTGAGTAGTGATTGAGGTGTCTAGCAATCAGTAAGCTCTGGATGAATGTCGGAGTTCCACCTGTGATGTTGTCTTAGGTTTTAGGGTTTCATCATGAAAATATATGACGTGATGCATAAAATCATTATCCCCAACTTTTAATATGAAACTAAGAATAATGTAAAATTTAATATAATTGATAATCAACTATCGTCTATTAAAAAATCACTTAAAAATTTAGAAAACTAATAAAATCATACGATTGATTGGAACTCACACTACAACAACAACATCAAGCCTTTATCCCACTACGTGTGGTCGGCTACATGAATCCTTTTTCTCCATTGTGTCCTATTAAAAGTCAAATAAAAAAAAAAATCATAGTTAAGCAAGTAAAAAAACAAGCAAACTAAGAATTGCAACAACAACATGGAACTCACACTAAATAAAAAAAAAATCAGATTGTGCCTTATTCACAATAATCAGTTAAGCAAGCAAACTAATAAAATAATGTGAAAATAAAAAGAGAAAAATGTAATCATCAAATAATAAATTTAAGTCTTATATTGGTACAAAAAGATTATTTTCTTTGAAATTGAAAAACTATATAAAATCATAGTTTAATATAAAATATATTTATTTTAACATATCTTTGAGTCTCGGATTTATAATCAAAAGTCTTCCCAAAATTTCAATAGAAAAGATTAACAAATAAAATCTACTGCCACCTCCTGAAGATATAAGAATTGCAAAATTCCTGTAAAAAAAGTTAATGTTGTAGTCACTTGAATGATGATCATGTTGGGGAAGTAAAACATGCAATGAACACAAACCTGAAAGAGAAAATATAGCGGAAAGAAAGAACATCAGGATTTAACGTAGAAAAGTTCGAAATCGTGAAAAACTGCAAAGCCACACCAAGAAATTTTAATGAAAATTTGGGAGATATAGTGCATATCTCTTTTCTCTCTCGCTCGCTCTGTATATATTTTCTCTTGCACCGTTCTCTATGAACAAACAAAGAGAAAACATATAAAAACCACCAAGAGATGCAAATGAAAAACAAGAAACAAAACTGCCCAGCCCGTCTCTTACATTGCGTCGCCAAATTTGGATATCAATTCCTCTGTATCTGTTTCCAAGAAAACTATACAGCTCTGTAGCATTGTATGGTTATATGGAAAAAGAATTTTCATGTGCAAAGCATCCGAACTCAAGCAGGGGGAGGACCCCCAACAACCCCTCAATGAGCTCGGCTGATGGAATTGAGATCCTAGGTAGCATTACAACTCGATTGATCGACATAATCAAATTCCACACAAAAATAACATATCACATAAGTTATTCTTGCAAGTCTTGCAAGATTGCGGAAGACCCTCAATCATGACTCAGCTGCCGCTCAAATAAGGATTAGGTGAGGCTAGTAGGCTCAAAATGCATGGCATGGTTCATAGGCACGAGAAGCGCTAAAGCCGCAAGTAGTAGAGAATCGACCTTTGTAGAGACCTAAATCATTATAGAATTCAAACTACGTAGGATTAGCTAATTCTAGTAATAGTGAATGGAATCAAACCTACGGTGGAATTCAGAAAATTAGAGAACATAATAAGTTCTTACAAGAAACATCAAAAGTACGATTCAAAGAAGAAAATTAAATAGAAAATGTCTAAAAACAGAGAAAACTACTATAGAAAAATCAACACTTAGATGGTCAAGTTGCTCATTTCATCACACACAACCTGTGTTTCCCAGGAGTTAAACTTTGAAATTAGCATAAAATTGGTAGCATGAATGCTAAATTTATTTTAGTTGAATAATATTAAGAATATATGCTCTTGTATTGAAATACTGTGCTGCGATAGAAAATAAGCATGTTGTTGCCTTGATTAGAGTTTTAATTATTTTCCACATAACGAAAATCAAATTGACTTGCTTTTATAATATCAAGAAAGATTATGCCAATTGTAAAGATTTATATGAAATTAGGATATATTAAATATTGAATTACCCATGCTCAATGAAAATTCATGATTAAAGTTGACTTTCTTCTTAAGAAAACTTGTTTATACATTTCTTATTCATTTATAAGAGATGATCTTATTCTTGAATTATATGATGATGCTATTGTGCAATTTTGGTTGTGATAAAGCTAAAGTTATGACATAGAATAATATTATTAAGTTTTCTAATTTTAGTAGTGGGGCCTAGAACTCAATTAAATATTGCTTTGGGAGGGAACAATTCAATTAAATATTGCTTTGTGTGGGAACGACTCAATTAAATATTGCTTTGTGTGAGAACAACTCAATTAAATATTGCTTTGGTAGGAAAAATTTGAATTAAGGGTTGTTTAGGAATTTTTGTAATCTTATTTGCTTTAAATAGTTTCTCTTGTAAGGGTTAGTATTTTATCTTGAATTTGGCTGAAAGTTGAGATCTCTGAGGTTTATGTTTTTTTTTGGCTCTAGCGGTGTCTAGAGATTTGGGAGAGTGCTCCTCCTCTTGAATAGATGATCAATTGTATCTTCCTTTATTTCTTCCGTTAGTTTGATTTCTTCAATAAAAATTATTATTTTGTTGATTTTTCAAAGGATTTGTGGAGCATTTTGCTATTTTTCGTCTCTATTGATAGGATTTACTTGAAATCTTCAAGTGTTTCCTATCAGGTTCATCTATAACTCGTGATTTAATATGTTTATTGCGGCACACAAATTGGTTAACTTAAAAAGAGAACAAAGTTCTATAAGAAACATGTTAATATTATAAAATCATAGCTATATTATGGTATTGATTGATTATTTCACACTTTTTTGGATTGGCAGGCCCTTTGAAATTAATTAAAGCTGTAGTACCACATATGATATCTAGGAGAAAGGGAAAGATTGTAAATGTGGGCAGTGTAGCTTCTTTGGCTCCAGGTCCTTGGGCAGGTGCTTATACTACATCCAAAGCTGCTCTTCATGCTCTAACTGACACCCTCAGGTTGGTTGGCCTTTATTGTTTTTCTTTATATTTTCCTAAACTATGATTCCAGACTTGAATTCTCAATCCGATTCTTGCATCTGCTGTGGTCCTTTCAACAGTGAAATTTAATTATGTTTTTAATTGTTAATTGCATGACTTAATAAACATGATATGTTGGAACTTAGGAGATGTTCTTGAGAGCTTCTTGAGCTCTTATTGCAAAAGAGAGAGGGAAAGGGAGGAGAGGCAATACACAACAATTTGGAGGAAATAAAACTAAGCTGTATTCAGATTTTTTCCCAAATTATACATCACCCTATACACTCTATTTATAGAGATTTACATGAATAAGATGTCACCTATTGCAATCTCTACATTGGTCCAAGTTTCACAATCAAATAACCATCTTTGCACCTATTGCAATCTGACTGACTTCCAGTTCTAACTCAATGAGCAATCCCTCCGATCCAAGCCCAATCCCGCTTGCGAACGGCCTCCATCGCACGTTCCAATCCACGGCTCCAGCTTGCGCTCCAACACCAATTTGTCAGTCTTCTTCGGACACACTTGCGGGCTCCAACCTGCGACCTCATACTGTACTTGTCCGATTCGGAGTCCGTGACAGGTTCTTGATTTGATCCACTGCTTCGACACACAACAACCAAAAGACCCTCCTCGCCGATCAACCTGCAATCTGACTTGAAAACTCCACCTCAAACTCAAAGATCTGAACAGATCTTGAATCTTCGACCTCCGATCTGATGCCACTGAAAGACAAGGCTACTGTAAGAGTGCAAAGTCCTTCATTACATCGACCTCAAACGGGGAAAAACAAAAATAGCAGCACTAGGGAAAGAAATCAGCGAACCCCTGACATCACAGCCCACCGCATCCTCGCAAACACCTGTATGTCCACCACCCCTTCTTTAGATTATGTTCCTACTCCTGTCGGGTACAGTCCATCAGTGGCCTCTTACTATCAATTGGAACAACATGACCAAATCCCATGCAATATGAAATTTTCATAATCCCATCAGGCGGTCTTACGTCTTGAGAATCTAGTGGCGATGCTCCCTGCAGACAAGCTCTTCACGGATGAAAATTGGTACCTCTCCACCTAGCAACGTTGTGCCCATTCTGCTAATGATCCCAAGTCTAGGTACACTGCCCTTTGCCTTGCCCTCAGCCCCCTCGCTCAAACAGCGTACCCTGCCAAGATCCCGCAAGGCAGGCTTCACCGCACCCCACGCGAACCTCTAACCACATGGCCTTCACCCGTGCTAACCCGGTGCCCTGCCGCGTGCCCGCGTGACTCGTGCACACCGCCCTCCACACGCCTGTCCGCGCCCGACTCGGCGAACTAGTCTCCACCCGAAAGGTTTGCGGAACAACAAACCTCCTGACTCCTTCCAAGCCACACAACATGTCCGCCTCTGTCAGCCTTTCTGTCTTTCTTGCGATTGAACAGCCCCTTCAGCTGCCGATTCTAATTCAATAACATTTTCCTCCATAGAGATCGCCTCAACGAGGCTCTGATACCTAATGTTAGAACTAGGAGAAAGATTCTTGAGCGCTCATCTTGAGCTCTTCTTGCAAGAGAGAGAGAGGGAGAGGGAGGAGAGGGAATACATACAATTTGGAGGAAATAAAATTAAGCTTTATTCAGATTTTTTTCCAAATTGATACATCTCATACAATGTATTTATAGGCATTTACATGTGATGTGTTGTGTATGTGAAACATCCTTAAAAAAAAAAAACTAGGCCAACATCTCACATGATAAAGAGCCTGAAAAAAATATCAGGAATCAGCTAAAAATGGATGCATCTGCCATAGTTTCCTCAATCATTCAATCTTAGTATGTCATTAGTAATCGAAGTCATTTATTAATTTAAACTGAAAGTTCTTACTTACCATATCTAAGTTTTTTCTGCATCCATTATCATGATTACTTCATACTCAACTACTCATCAAGGCAAGTATCTTTTCCTTAGTTTTACTCAGCTTAAGATTTAAAATCAACGCCCCAACCTTCAAAGGCTTGAATGAGAAAATTTTTACTAGCCATAATTACAATAATGTCTTTTTCTGTTGATTAGATGGGATACAGCTTTATTTTTGCTATTTTGACAGACTAGAATTCAGGCCATTTGGCATACGTGTTATAACTTTGGTACCAGGAGCTATTAGATCAAACATTGGAAATTCTTCTTTGTCATCCTATGAAAGCATGCCAGAGTGGAAGTTCTACAAACCATTTGAGAAGGCTATTAAGGCACGGGCTGATTTCTCTCAAACCGTCCGGTCAACTCCAGCTAATGAGTTTGCAAAGAAGGCGGTGGCAGGTATATTGAAGAAGAATCCCCCTGCCTGGATCTCTTATGGGCATTTGTGTACTGTTGTTGCAATCCTATATTATCTTCCATTATTTATTAGGGATTACCTTTTAAGGCTAGCAATGAAGTCCTAAGAAGCTTCTGCGTGTGTTTTGGTTATTGTCCAAATATTTATGTTTTATATGCTTAAATAATGTGGATATCCCTCTTGCTTGCATTATCAGCAATGAAATATCAAGCATTGTACCTTGCATTGGTTATTTATGAGTTTTATATGTTTTGATGTGGGTATTCTTGTTGTTTAATAATTTTGTTTTATATGTTTTAATGCAGATATTCCTTCATATTTGCAATTTTTAAAATCATTGGCAAAGCTACAAAAGCTTGAAAATAATTTGATTTTTTTTTTTGCTGCTTTCTGAAAAATATGTCAAAGATAGAATGCATAAGGTGATAGAAAATTACCTCTCAAACTTAAGAAAAATTTCTATAACAATGATGTTGAGACTTGCAATGCTTTATGGAGCAGAATGTTGGCCATCAAAAGAGAAGCACAAAATTAAGATAAAGTTTTCAGAGAAGAGGATGCTCAGATTGATGAGTGGCTTCACTCTTAGAGACAAAATGTGAAATGAATATATACGTGAAAAGTTTAGAGTAGTTCTAGTGGTAGATATGATTAGAGGGAGTCGCCTTAGATCGTTTGGTTATATAGAACATTTGCCTTTTGATGACTCTGTTAGTACAAAAATGTATTAGATTTTGTTTATGTTAAGGAAGGTAGAGGTAGATCTAAAAAGACTTGGTTAGAAAGTATTATAAATGATTTTTTTATTAAATTTAAATGAAAATTTGAATTTTAGCAAGACAATGGAGAAAAATGCCAGAGACAAAGGTGATGGGGTACATAAGAAAGACAATATTGCTATTGTTTGACATTGTTGCACTTTTGTATGTAAATGTTAATTTTGGCTCTTTCATGGACGTTACAATCACAAAGATGCAACGCAACAATATGAAAAACACAAAATGCAGTATCAATAATGGTTGTTTGTGGTGGCAGACAGACATCCAATAATGATGTAGATGTTAGTTTAAAATATTGCCTCGTTTTAGACGGCTTGATTTCGCCTTTTCAGTTTTGAAATGGCTAAAATTTTTTTTAGTTGTTTGTATGTGCCACTTTTACGTAAATACTTTTTAGATAATTGTATTTTTGTACTGCTTTCAAAAACTTTTTGATATTAACTTCTTCGTTCTAACTCTGTTCTCTCAAACAATTGTTTTAAAACTATATTTTAGAAAAGGTACAGAATAACCAAATGAAGACTATAATGTTAAAAGCAATTAACATCATCAAAGTAAACCTAATTAATAAGGGATTGGGCATATGCCGACAAATATTGATAGCATAGAAGAATGATGGATTCTTGCTTTTATTTATTATTGTTCAAGAAGATTTTGAGCATCTTTCTTTTCAAGAGTTTAGACATTCTTTCATTTAGCAAATATTTTGAATGATTTATTCGCAAAAATTCAACATTGAGAGCCCTCAAATCCCTGAACAAAAAGGTAAAATGTCTTCGACGGGCATATTCTAATCTTGTGTTTCAGGCAAAATTTTTCTGTCATATTTGCTTACATTTAATTAGATGGGGATATTCTTTGACAGCATCATAGACTATTTCAGCTTCTTGTCCTATGGCTGGCTTTCTTTTAAATTTTTTTTTTTTTTTTGAAGTGGTGCTTTATGCGTTGTCCTGCAGTATAAACAATCATATTTGGATACTACCATCTGCCCTAGGAGCAATTATTAGGTCCTTTCACTGGATGTAGAGGAAGGTTCGGTTTTAGGCAAAAATAGGTCAAAAAGTGCAAATACCGAGTTTTTCAAAAAACTCGGTATTTTTTCAAAAAAACTCGGTATTTGCACTTTTTTAGGCAAAACCGAACCTTCCTCTAGGTCCTTGCACCGGACCAAATAAAAGTTCCTGCCCTAGGCTGAAGATGATCTCTAAGCCAACTCTTAAAGCGTGAGTATGATACTTATCTGAAAATTCATACGAAATCCAAGTTTGGCAAATTTAGGCTTTATTTGGGAGAGGTTTCTTGATTCTAAAATTATTTTTTAGTATAAAAATGTTTCGAATTAAAAATTTTTATACTAGCAAGTTATTTTAAAAGCAAGAAGAAATCTACCCCAAATAAACTTTAAAGTCCACATGAATGACATAAAAATAATTTAATTTGAGTATAAATAAACTCAAATCAAATACTTAAAATACAATTAATATTTTTATAATATTAATTAAATGATTAAGCAATTTTAAAATCTTGCTTGCTTTTAGTCAAGATGAACTCTCTTTAATGAGATGAATCAAAACAGCTCAAAATCACTTTTTTTTTCATACACCTATACAGTGTTTGTTGCACTGTTGTTACGTCATGGAATATTCGTGGCGGAAGGTTAACATCTTAGTTTTATACGAATATCCAGCACATAATCAGATAAGAGAGATAGTGTAGCTTTCATAAGAGACATCAGAATTTTTTACGTGGAATACCCTTAAAAAGGGGAAAAAATCACTGGGACTTGCCCAATTTGAATGAATCAACTATTGTTTGTAATTAATTACAAGGGGAATGTCGTGGTTTGACGTAGCAAATATACATCATACATAGTGCATTACATGGTGAAAATTGGAAGAATCAGAATTGATATGTTCGTTTGGTCGGCAATACCATAGTCGACTGGCGACAGAGGTTGGAAAGATCGTATTTGGGTAACGGTGGTCGAAAGAACCGTAGTCGGCATGACGACGGAGGTCAGAAAGACCATTGTTAGGCGATGAAGGTCGAAAGGACCGTAGTCAGCAGACGATGAATGTCGAAAAAATCGTAGTCGAGTGACAGTGGTCCGAAGGACCGTAGTTGACGAGCGACGAAGGTTGGAAAGACTATTGTTTATCGACGGATGTTAGAAGGATCATAGTCAGCAGACGACGAAGTTCAAAAATACTGTTGTTATGAGACATAGTTCAGAAGGACCATAGTCGGCAGTCGACGAAGGTCAGAAAGATTATAGTCGAGTGACGGTGGTTGGAAGGATAGTAGTCGGCAGGTGACGAAGGTCGAAAAGATCGTTGTCAGGCGATGAAAGTCGAAAGGATCGTAGTCGGAGGGCGACGAAGGTCGGAAGGACCATAATCAGAGGGCGACGGAGGTTGGAAAGACTGTTGCCTGACAATGAAGGTCAAAAGGATAGTAATTGATGGGAGACAAATGTCAGAAAGACCATAGTCGAGTGACTGTGATTGTAAGGACTGTAGTCGTCGGGCAATGGAAGTCGTAAAGACTATTGTGGAGTGAAAGTTCAATAATAATTGGAAGCTGAGTGGAAGTCTGGTGTCACTCGGCGGCCGGGTTAAAGTCTGACGACAGTTGGTTTATGAATTGGCCACCAAACATATATCCCATAAATTCTAAAAGGTTAATTAGTTTATTCAAATGTATCCCAAAATCAAGTGCAAGTATATGAACATATATCCTTACGTGAGCAATTGTGACTAGCTCAATGTATAGCCATAGTTTTAATTTGTTGGTTTATGAATTGGCTTAAAGGCTCTCATTTGCCGAGCTTGAGTTTGACTCGAGTAAAAGATATGTGGTTCGAGCTCAACTCAAGTGCTTGGATAAAAAGGTCAAAATTGGCTTATTTTTGAAGCACAAATTCTTATTTTGAATTTAGACAAAGAATGATTAGTTTGGCTAATATAATGGAGTTGGCTGGATAAACCGATGAGCAAAGCCGGATTAAGCTTGAGCATGAGCTCAAACTCATATAATAGATAAGCTAAATTTTACATTTTAATTTGTAGCTGGATATGTGTAGGCTCACGAGAAGACAGACTCAATTTAAGATAATTTTTTTAAAGTAAATTTTTACTAAAAAATTCCGGAGACTTTATTCATGATAATTTTTTTATCACGATTTTTTTTCTATTTTTATTTTTATACTAAAAATTATTTTAGAAAATAGAAAGAAAAAACCATCCAAAAGCTTTTTAGGGCTCACTTACATCCCTAGGCCCACATGCGTCAAAGGTCTAGCCCAAGCGCCAAACCGAAGCCGCAGGTCCATTGGCCCGATCCATGGAATCTGAATTTTAACGAAGCCTTCTTTATATTCCCCTAGAAGGTTAGAATAACTTCTATTCGAACCGACTCAGGAGGCCGCGAGAGACTCCGACTCCGACTCCGGTAGAGTTTGTTGGAGGAGGAGGGATCGAGCAACGAAAGTAAGAGGCAGGAAAAGTTTTCTTCGTTATTCTTTTCGGAGTCAGTGGATCGTTTGCCGCAATGATTCGAAGGTTTTCAACACCCCTTTGTAACTTTCCCTTTATCGACTTTCTTTGGGAACAACTTCATCTTTCTTTTTTCCTTCTCATCGGCCATTTTATTTAAACCTGTTCTACGATTTTCTTTAAAGGTTTTTCAGAGTTGGTTCTGTATCTGGCAGCTTCGTTATCGAAAATTTTGGATTACGATCAGATATTTTAGACATGATTTTTATGTTTCCCATTTTTGTTTATCTTGAATTAAATTTCCTGCAGGTGCATTTGGAGGCTTTCGTCCGGTCAAGCTCTTGGGAGGCGGCACAGAGCAGGCCTGGGGCAGGCATTTCTTTTTCCCTTATAGATTCATCTACTGCATTTACCAGTTTGTTTTTCTTTAAACTCCTCATTTTGTTGAGGAAAGAAGTGGTTGCAAGTACTTTCCTGGAACGGTGGTTAAATGTATTTGGTAGGAGAAGTTATTATAAGCTGTGGTTAGAAAATTTTTTCTTTCTTGATATAATGGAGAAGAATGAAGTCCGGATTTCAGAACCAGTTCTTGACGAGTTATAATAGTAGAGCGGACACTTGTCTAGTTGCAATAGTTTCTTGCAGTATTTTCACGATGACCACCATTGTTTGTATTATAGGCAGATCATAAAGCTTGAGAGCTGACATAAACAAGCAACCAGTTTTATGACTAAATAGTTATTTGGCTAGAATTAGTGAATTACTATTGATTATCTTTGTTCTATTTTAGTGAACCTGGAATCAGCAAAAAAGATGATAGAGGATATTGCATCAAATTGATCTATAGGTTCATGGACTTGTTATTTGACAGGGAAGGATATAGGGATGTACATACTGATTTTACTAGTAGAATTTTATTTTATTGTTTAAATTGTAGGGTTTCTTAGTGTGTATGGCAATATGCTAAAATCATAGTGGACAAAAGGTTATATAAAGACAGCTATAAGTCCACTTTTTTCATCTTTCTGGAGATGCTTCTATGTATTCGTTGGAGACAGCTTCTTATGCGAGGCCTTTTGCTACAACTAAAAGCAGTCAAAATTATTTTTTAGACTATTCAATGAAGAATAATTAATTCAATTATTTAAAAAAGCTATTTATCTTATCATCTTTCTTGAACTAATTTGGTTCTAAGTTAGTGAAAGCTATAAATTTGGAATTGGAATTTCCCAGGCGACTTATTATTTATAAAGCAATGCAAATTCGCACTGTATACTTTATTTATAAATGTTTCGAGACACAAAATTACAGGCCTAACAGTAAATTGAGTCCAAATAAAAGTGATATGAAATTCATAATTATTGACTTTTTTTGAAGGGAGGAATAAGCTTAAAGGATTTTAAAGTTAGTTTTTTAATTTGGATTTTTGAAATCCATGAAATGAAAGTGTTGGGACATGCTTAATATTATTAAGTGTTGGCACTAAACTTATATGGGTCAATATTTAACACAAACAAAAAGAACCACAAACAAAAAGAACACGACTTATCATTCAGTTTAGTTGAGGACTAACTGAATGATCAACAATTGCTTATTTACCAGAGGGAAACTTTTAAAGTTAGCCATAGCATTTGATAGCTATCATACTTTGTCAAACTACTGACATCAACCCTTCTCAAATCCCTATTGGCAAGAAGCCCTATGCACTTCCCTGCATGTTTACAGGTTAGTAGTCGAAAACTACTGCTCTGTTTTATATTCTTATCCTAATAAAAAGAGGCGCACTTTGTTCGTGAGGTAAATGATGACTGCAATGTGTTTTAGTTGACAAGCCGTTTCCAGGAAACCTATGTCTTTCTTATCACTATAGGGCAACCTAACTGTTACACGTAGATGCTCCCTCTCTAGATGTTTCTTCATGGACCTGTAAGAAGTTTGTCATTCATAATTCCTTCTTTTTACTGTTTATTCTTCTACTTGAGTCATATGTAACCCAGAAGTTGCCTTGAAGCATTGATATTATTGCAAAAACTAATAATTAGTTCTTTGAGAAGAGATTGATATGCCAAACTCATGGATCATGGCCCATGAAATCCAAATTATCTATTTTATTATAACATTTAATGTTTACAATAAAAATAAATTAGAAATATTATGCTCTCTTGTATTTATAAAAGCCTATCAATAACTAATCAGTCTGCCTTTTTTCTAGGAGAATTAAATGGAATGTTTTATTTCTTAATTATGTCAAGTATTCAAAATCTTATCTTACATCCGGTTTTCTTGATTGTTGAACATATATCTACCTTTCTTAATAAATTTACCTGCTTATAGATCACGTGGACATGGATTAACTTTTTTTTTTTTTAATTCTTTTAAATAGCCTCCTTTTTCCCTTTCTTCGAGACATGAATTTTCAAGTTCATCTCCAAAAAAAGCAAACCAGAAGCCTGCTCCTGAAGATGACACTTCTAGATCATCAAATAATGCACCCAAACTCATCCTAGGCAGTGTAGTTGTTGGAGCTGCAGTGATAGCTGCATATCAAACTGGCTACGTTAAACTTCAAGTTAAGGATGATAATTCTTTTCTTAGAACTAGCAACCTAGACACTGTCAAAGCGACTACGGATTCTAAGCTTCCAGCTGACAAAGAAATCCTGCATTCAGCTGACAAAGAAATCTTTCGAAGCAGCGAAATCACAAGCCAAGTGAAACCAAATGCAGAAAATGTCGAACCAAGTGAAACCAATAATGGTGGTGACTTTAGGGTCAATACTGGAATTCCAGAAACAGTACCCATAAAGGAGGAATCAGCCCCTTACAGAGAAGAGGAGATATCAATTTCTGTTGAGAATGCTACAGCAGCTCCTGTGGAGAAAGCATTGAGTTCTGAAGAGCCATCTAAAGAATTATTAAACAAGGATAGAAGCATAACATTTATTAACTCCAACCAAGAAGAAAGTAGGACAACTGAGGGTTCCATGGAACAGATGGAAGATTTAGTTGATAGATCACTTCATCATTTAAAAGATGCTGACGCAAAGGTTTCTGATTTTTATCAAGATACCTCGACCAAAGTGCAGAAGGTATAATAATTTTGAGTTATTCAATTGAAAATTTCTTGTCCTTATCTATTCTGCTTGTTGATATATGCTTGTTCTTTTGTTTTTGTACCATTACATTATTTCATTTATTAGTTTAGCAGAAACGATTCTTTGGGAAAAAGAAAGATTGGCACCTAAAGTTAATTATATTGTGGCTGCATGCATCTGTACCATTCCAGAACTCTATTTGCAAATTCATTTCGTTCCTTCTAGGACTTGCAAAACTTGCCTCCAGTAAAAAACCTAAGCAAAGGAACAACCTGTTTGTGCTCCTTGAACTTGGTAAAGTCTGACAAGGCTGTTTCTTTAGCACGTGTTTTTTTTTTTAATCCTGAACTAAGTGTCGAAAGCTGCAGGCTAAGTTTCAGAATCTTTTAGTTTGCTATTTTGTTGTTGTTTGACATGTTCTGTTTTTAGTTGCTATATTACCGTGCCAATAAACCATTGGTATTGACGTGAAAATTCCAGTGCAGCATTTCTGATGGCTCAGAATCTACTCTAAGATTGGACTGAGATGTGATAGGGCATTTGATCATCCATTTGGAATTGAAAATGTCTCGAAACGACTACTACATATTAGCTATGATTTAGTGAGAAGAATTTGCTGCTTTGCTCATAAGAAGCATAATAATTTTGATGAAAGCTATACTTAAATATTGTTATTGAAGATGAGATAAGTTTAAGCACAGTTCTATTGTCTTTTGCTCCTGTAGGAATTTTATGTTATAATCCAGAAACCCAAACTATTAGCACCTTTTGTTGTCCAAATCAGATCGGTCAATTTATGCAGTCCTTTTGCTGTAAAATTTGTTCAACATCCAATAACTCTCTTCTAGTAGGCCTAGAATAGCTTGCAATCATAAAAAATTTTCTTTTTATTCAGCCTTCAGATTGATTATGCGAAGTCTTGAATTTAAGGATCTATTGTATCATGCTTATGCTTTCAAATTAGGTCTACTTTATCTCAGAGTAGAAGTCCTAGAAAACTTGTCACTTGAGGCCATGAGAACCCAGCTAGAGATCTGACTTGATTAGTTTGCTGTTTTTGAAGGCAGTTCCGTGGCCATTTAAAAGAAACAATAGCCGACAGCAGAAAAACTTCTCCGCCAAGGAAAAAACATCCTAAAAAGCTTTTCGGACTTGTTCTGATCGATCATACTCTTGAAGTAGGCCCAATACCACAGAGGGCTCTTATGTAGTATATCTTTACTCTCTTAGATATTTTGCATTTATCAGAACTATCCTGAGATCTTGTGCAGCCTTGCCGTGCCAACTGAGATTTTTATTTTTATTTATTTTTATAATGTTGATGGGTATCAACCTATTATCTTAGCATATGTGTGATAACTCATAATCAGTCTGCGCAATGAATGCAAAACAGCCAATAATTTTGCCGCCCAATATTCTACCTTTTGTATGACTATAATTGATCTCTTTAGAGATTAGTCTTTGAAATTGCACAATCGAGTATTGTGGAGTTTTCATTTCGTGAGACGAGACAAAAGCCTTGAGGTGTAAGCCTAAGAATGAAACTATTAAATTTTAAGCCTAAGAATTAAACCATTAAATTAATAAAAATATGAAATAATAAATACCATACCAACATTAAATTTAAATTAATATCATAAAATCAAATTAAGGCTATTAAAGTCATACAATGCTATAACCATTGCTAAATAAATTGTCTCTCCTACTCCTAGTTTAGTACAACAACAACAACAACAACATCAAGGCTTTATCCCGCTACATAGGGTTGGCTACATGAATCATTTTTCTCCATTTTGTTAGATTAAGAGTCAAATTTCTCATTTAGATCTAATAAATAAAGGGTATTTTTAATATTTTCTAACCAAGTTTTTTTAGGTCTACCTCTACCTTTCTTAACGTAAGTTAAATCTAATACATCTCGAAAGGCTGTTGTTTTATGTGATCAAACCATCTAAGGAAACTCTCTCTAATCTTATCTGTCACTTGAGTTACTCTATCCTTTTCACGTAATGCTCATTTTGTATTCTGTCTCTAAGAGTAAAGCCACTCATCCACCTAAGCATCCTCATCTCTGCAACACTCATAGAATTTTTCCTTAAGTTTGAGTGGTGCTTTTCTATCATACAACAAGCCCGATGCTTTCCTAGACTTCATCTATCCAACTTGAATTCTACTAATAATATTCCCATATATTTTACCATCACTCTGAACAATAGACCCAAGATATCTAAAACGTGTACTCTTATTAACGACTTGATCGGTTACAGTGACAAACCCCCCACTAGATCTATTACTACTAAATTACACTCCATGTATTTGGTTTTAGATATACTCAAACGAAAACCTTTAGACTCTAAGGTTGACCTCCATAATTCAAGTTTACCTTCAACTCTCTTTAATCTTATCAACAAGAAGAATATCGTCAACAAAAAACATACACCAAGGAACATCCTCTTGCAAATCTCTAGTAAGAACATTCATGACTATAACAAAAAGATATGGGCTTAAGGTTGATCCTTGATGAAATCCAATTGAAATTGGAAAATACTTGCTCAAACCACCTTATGTTTGAACACAAATAACAACTCCAACATACATATCCCTAATGAATTGATTATAAACATTACTAATCCCTTTCTTTTTTAGAACTCTCCATAGCACTTTTTTTTTGAAACTTTATCATACGCTTTCTCTAAATCAATAAATATCATATAAAGATCTTCCTTTTTCTCTCTATACTTCTCCATCAAACCTCTCAATAAATGTATGGCTTTCATAGTAAACCTACCTGGCATGAATCCAAATTATTTTTGAGAAACATTAGTATCACGTCGTAACATATGCTCCATAACTCTCTCCCATAGTTTTAAAGTATGACACATCAAATTAATTCCTTTATAATTTGCACAAACTTGTGCATCACCTTTATTTTTAAAGATAGGAATCAACACACTCATTCTCCACACATTTGACATCTTTTTAGCATTCAAAATAATATTAAAAATTTTAGTAAGCCAATAAATTCCTTCATCTTGTAACTATTTCCACACCTCTATTGGAATATCATCAGGTCCAATAATTTTTCCACACTTCATTTATTTAAAACCTCTCTAACTTCAGTTTTAGTAATACGCCAATAAAAGTAAAAATCTCTATTTTCATTTATAGTGTTAAGGTCACGATAGTCAATTGTATTTTTACAATATTCATTGAAAATCTTAGCAAAATATCTCATCCACTTTTGTTCAATATCATCTTCTAAAAAAATACTTTTGGATCTTCATTCTTAATGCACTTCACTTGAACTAAATCCTTACTACACCTATCTCTTTGTTTGGCTAGCTTATACATATATTTTTTGCCATCTTTAGTATCTAATCTATTATGTAAATCATTAAAAGTTAAAGTTATTGCATTGCAGAATGCTTTCTTAGGCTCCTTATGGGAAACTTTATATCTTTCCCAATTTTTAGAATTTTTACTTCTAAATTAATTTTTATAATAGAGCTTCTTATTTTTGATCTTTTATTTCACATTTTAATTTCACCACCAACTATATTTACTATTAGGAGCATTTCCTTTTGATACTCCAAGCACTTCCTTTGCAACATTCTTAATATACAAGCTACTATTTCCCACATAACATTAGCTTCCTCATACACCGACAAAATCTTAAGATCGTGAATCTTACTATCAAAAATATTTTTGTTAGAGTTCTTTAAATGTCACCATCTAATCCTACTACAATGATATACTATATTTTTCATGCTCTGACCCTTCATCTTAAAGTCCAAAACTAATAAGCAGTGTTGGGTACATAGACTTTAACTTGGAATAATTTTACGATCTCTGCGATCTAAAAGGTATATTTTTCTTACAAGAATATTATGTCATATTTTATGAATGCAAAATTCTCCCCAACTCTCATAACTTAGAGGGTTTTCATTAGAACCATTATTGTAATTAATTGGGATAATGCAGTAACAGAGGTGGCACAGTAGTGACAACAAGACAACAAGATCTGGGGTGGGCTGAGGATCTTCTGCGTGTGGCTGTGTTTGAGGTTATGACGTTCTTCTCAAGTTTGTTTTAGTTTATTTATATTAAATATGTTTAATTATATATATAAAGTTTATAAATTAAAATTTTAAAATTGCCTAGACCTTAATTTTTGAAGCTTACGTCTTCAAAATTGTGCTGAGCATGCCTCACGTCCACTGAGGGGAAAGGTGAGGTGTATGTCTCATTGCCTTTTTCTTAAATTGTATTGAGACAAACCTCTAATCATACAATTTCAAACCATGACAAAGATCTCTTCTGCAATCTTTCTAAGCGAAACTTATTCAATTTTCTTTTTAAATGTTCTAATGTGTAGTGAACAGACTATCAGATTGTCTTCCTTTATATGGAAGCAATCCATGCAAGATTTAGGATTAATTACCATTGTGTCATCACTGTTTGCTTGGTTTTGAAGTTTATCCTCTAGGTAGAAATTGTTTTAATATGCAACTTGTCTTTATCCATGCACTTCATTGATCAATTTAAATTATAATTTTCCCTCTTATGGAGTAAAGTATTTAAGAGATGTCTCAAATTATTGGAGAAGTTCCTTCAAAAAATTAAAAATGTTCTCTCTATAAATCATATATATATATATATTGTTTTCCTTAGATAAAGTGTTTAAACATTCTTATAGCCACTCCTAAAAAACTTTAATGTTAGACAAGGATTTGGCTTTTGTGCAATGAAGAAGAGAAAAACAAGCAAGTTGACTAAAGGAATGATTGTGATAGGAAGTGCTTGTATAACTCAAGATAATACTTGGTTGAAATTAAATTTTAGCAATCTCCAACACAAATCACAACTAGAACAAGAGGAATAGCAAGGGTAACTTTGTAATAGATGAAAGAGGGAAGAAACAAACAAGGCAATATATAATGGATCCTCAATTGGAGAGGAGGATCTGGCTCTCCAAATCTCTAGCCGGTGGTTGG